TTTTTTTTTGCATGGGCCCCTTGCCGGCTCGGGGCCCCGGTGCGTTGCACCGTCGATAGTTACGCCACTGAGTACATATGCCGGGCCTGTAAAGGCTAAAGTGTATGTTTAAGTGTTAGCACCCCCCGAAGAGGCACAAGGTTGGTATTAACTATGATATAAACATGTAGGTTGTGTCCTAATTCGTTTATAAACTGTTTTGTAGCTCTGTTGGCTGTTTACAGTTCACTTTTGGTAGTATGCTAAAGTGATTATAATACGGATGGAGCCTAAATGTATTTGTTGTTTTTGTGTCTTTATAGCTCTTACGTTGATATTGGAGATTTCAATAAATTAATATCATCAGTCAAGTCTTCGACCATTATTCGGAGGGAAATCTTAATTGATAAAAAAAAACACATTTCCATGACCAGCTTTGAATAGACCCTTCATATTTCCCCTTATTAGAAGCTTCTGTTTTAAGTTATGAGCTGCCAACACTTTGTAGCGCAATACATGAAAACCTAAGGAGAGCTGTGATGTTTCCTAAAGCATATTCAGGCAGAGAGGGCAAAAGTACACACATCCGTTACTGAAGTAGAAGTACAGATACTCGTGTTTAAATAAGTACTGACTAAACTTCTTCACTCAAGTCAAAGTAAATAACTTTGAAATGTACTTCAGTAAAAAGTACCCATAACTAGCAGCTGTTTTAAAGAGTACCTGACCTCCCTTTATATTAATAGAACAATAATGTCATTGTTAGCTAATGAATGTTTCCATGCTGAACAACGGCAACATGACAACGTTTCCATTGGTCCCTCTTCTTTAGAGAAGACCAGGAAATGATGGATACACGGATCGTGTTCAAATCAATAGGCACGCAATGACTCTAAAGAATAATGATCACGCACCAAACACACATTCAGACTAAAGGAACCAGCTGTTTGGAAAATGAGAGAAGTAGAAAGTACAGGTATTTGAGTTCAACATGTAAGAAGTAGAAAGTACAGGTATTTGAGTTCAACATGTAAGAAGTAGAAAGTACAGGTATTTGTGTTCAACATGTGAGAAGTAGAAAGTACAGGTATTTGTGTTCAACATGTAAGAAGTAGAAAGTACAGGTATTTGTGTTCAACATGTAAGAAGTAGAAAGTACAGGTATTTGTGTTCAACATGTAAGAAGTAGAAAGTACAGGTATTTGTGTTCAACATGTAAGAAGTAGAAAGTACAGGTATTTGTATTCAACATGTAAGAAGTAGAAAGTACAGGTATTTGAGTTCAACATGTAAGAAGTAGAAAGTACAGGTATTTGAGTTCAACATGTAAGAAGTAGAAAGGACAGGTATTTGTGTTCAACATGTAAGAAGTAGAAAGTACAGGTATTTGTGTTCAACATGTAAGAAGTAGAAAGTACAGGTATTTGTGTTGAACATGTAAGAAGTAGAAAGTACAGGTATTTGAGTTCAACATGTAAGAAGTAGAAAGTACAGGTATTTGTGTTCAACATGTAAGAAGTAGAAAGTACAGGTATTTGAGTTCAACATGTAAGAAGTAGAAAGTACAGGTATTTGTGTTCAACATGTAAGAAGTAGAAAGTACAGGTATTTGTGTTCAACATGTAAGAAGTAGAAAGTACAGGTATTTGAGTTCAACATGTAAGAAGTAGAAAGTACAGGTATTTGTGTTCAACATGTAAGAAGTAGAAAGTACAGGTATTTGAGTTCAACATGTGAGAAGTAGAAAGTACAGGTATTTGTGTTCAACATGTAAGAAGTAGAAAGTACAGGTATTTGTGTTCAACATGTAAGAAGTAGAAAGTACAGGTATTTGTATTCAACATGTAAGAAGTAGAAAGTACAGATATTTGTGTTCAACATGTAAGAAGTAGAAAGTACAGGTATTTGTGTTCAACATGTAAGAAGTAGAAAGTACAGGTATTTGTGTTCAACATGTAAGAAGTAGAAAGTACAGGTATTTGAGTTCAACATGTAAGAAGTAGAAAGTACAGGTATTTGTGTTCAACATGTAAGAAGTAGAAAGGTTAACAGGTATTTGTGTTCAACATGTAAGAAGTAGAAAGTACAGGTATTTGTGTTCAACATGTAAGAAGTAGAAAGTACAGGTATTTGTGTTCAACATAACATGTAAGAAGTAGAAAGTACAGGTATTTGTGTTCAACATGTAAGAAGTAGAAAGTACAGGTATTTGAGTTCAACATGTAAGAAGTAGAAAGTACAGGTATTTGGGTTCAACATGTAAGAAGTAGAAAGTACAGGTATTTGAGTTCAACATGTGAGAAGTAGAAAGTACAGGTATTTGTGTTCAACATGTAAGAAGTAGAAAGTACAGGTATTTGAGTTCAACATGTGAGAAGTAGAAAGTACAGGTATTTGTGTTCAACATGTAAGAAGTAGAAAGTACAGGTATTTGAGTTCAACATGTAAGAAGTAGAAAGTACAGGTATTTGAGTTCAACATGTAAGAAGTAGAAAGTACAGGTATTTGAGTTCAACATGTGAGAAGTAGAAAGTACAGGTATTTGAATTCAACATGTAAGAAGTAGAAAGTACAGGTATTTGAGTTCAACATGTAAGAAGTAGAAAGTACAGGTATTTGAGTTCAACATGTAAGAAGTAGAAAGTACAGGTATTTGAGTTCAACATGTAAGAAGTAGAAAGTACAGGTATTTGTGTTCAACATGTAAGAAGTAGAAAGTACAGGTATTTGAGTTCAACATGTGAGAAGTAGAAAGTACAGGTATTTGTGTTCAACATGTAAGAAGTAGAAAGTACAGGTATTTGAGTTCAACATGTAAGAAGTAGAAAGTACAGGTATTTGAGTTCAACATGTAAGAAGTAGAAAGTACAGGTATTTGAGTTCAACATGTGAGAAGTAGAAAGTACAGGTATTTGAGTTCAACATGTAAGAAGTAGAAAGTACAGGTATTTGAGTTCAACATGTAAGAAGTAGAAAGTACAGGTATTTGAGTTCAACATGTAAGAAGTAGAAAGTACAGGTATTTGTGTTCAACATGTAAGAAGTAGAAAGTACAGGTATTTGTGTTCAACATGTAAGAAGTAGAAAGTACAGGTATTTGTGTTCAACATGTAAGAAGTAGAAAGTACAGGTATTTGTGTTCAACATGTAAGAAGTAGAAAGTACAGGTATTTGTGTTCAACATGTAAGAAGTAGAAAGTACAGGTATTTGTGTTCAACATGTAAGAAGTAGAAAGTACAGGTATTTGTGTTCAACATGTAAGCAGTAGAAAGTACAGGTATTTGTGTTCAACATGTAAGAAGTAGAAAGTACAGGTATTTGTGTTCAACATGTAAGAAGTAGAAAGTACAGGTATTTGTGTTGAACATGTAAGAAGTAGAAAGTACAGGTATTTGAGTTCAACATGTAAGAAGTAGAAAGTACAGGTATTTGAGTTCAACATGTGAGAAGTAGAAAGTACAGGCATTTGAGTTCAACATGTAAGAAGTAGAAAGTACAGGTATTTGTGTTCAACATGTAAGAAGTAGAAAGTACAGGTATTTGTGTTCAACATGTAAGAAGTAGAAAGTACAGGTATTTGTGTTCAACATGTAAGAAGTAGAAAGTACAGGTATTTGTGTTCAACATGTAAGAAGTAGAAAGTACAGGTATTTGTGTTCAACATGTAAGCAGTAGAAAGTACAGGTATTTGTGTTCAACATGTAAGAAGTAGAAAGTACAGGTATTTGTGTTCAACATGTAAGAAGTAGAACGTACAGGTATTTGTGTTCAACATGTAAGAAGTAGAACGTACAGGTATTTGGGTTAAAAACGTAAGAAGTCAAAGTCGTCAGAAAAATAAGTAAAGTACTGATACCAGAAAGATGTACTTAAGAACAGTAACAAAGTATTTGTACTCCACTACTTCCCACCTCAAGTATCAAGAATAATTTACCCTTCTTTTGATTGATTTTTCTAACCCATAACTTCACTTATGAGGCAAAATACATCACCTCTAGTGTATGGCCCTCAGAGGAATAAGTTTGGACAGCTCTGAACTCAAATATATAAAATAAATACCCCATGTTCACCAGCAGGGGGCAGCAAAGACACACGAGTGCCAGGTAGGTTTACACATACAAGGAACGAACATAAACAATCTATGAAAATAAATTGTAAAAGTAGATAAATATAAAGATAAAACACACACACACACTCCCATTGGACGAGGGAGATGCTGCCTTCAGGGACTACATCAAAGCATCAGAGGATGATGTCTTAAATAAGTATTCAGTCTTTACTTTAGGAAAGTTTCCACACATTACGTCAAAAAATCTCAATTACAAAGTAAAACTGCTGCAAAGAAAATCACATGAGTGAAATTAACTTTTATAAATACTTTTAAAACTGAAACCTCAATGTTAGAGCAGCATGTACGAGCTGATTTAGATTCATTAATTCTGTTAATGAGAGAAGACGGTTTCGCTTCCTATGATTGATTTATGTAAGTAATTGAGTAGTCTTTTGTCATTGCATGCAGTGGTGCAAATTAACTAAGTACATTTACTAAAGTACTGTTCTAAGATTTGGAGGTTTAGTACTTCAGTAAATGGACTGTACTTATATAGCGCTTTATCCAGTCTTTACGACCCCTCAAAGCGCTTTACATACTACATGTCGTTCACCCATTCACACAGAGCAGTACCACTTGCTCTAGGACCTAACATTCACACACCGTTGGCCATCGGGAGCAACTCAGGGTTAAGTATCTTGCCCAAGGATACATCGACATGTTGACTGCATGGGCCGGGATCGAACCCACAACCTTCTGGTTGAAAGACGACCGCACTCCCTCGCAGCCACAGTCGCCCTTGTATTTGACTTGATGCTATACTGTGCAGCCCTTCATCTGAACAGTAGCTGTATCTGACAAATAAACACAGCCCCAGAAATCACTTTAAATACCTTTCTAACCAACTAAACGTTCCTTCGTTCAACCGAGACTCCTCGTAACTCTCCCTGAAATCATAAAGACCACAAATGGATAAAAAGAGGATGATTTTATTTTTATTTTCACAAGACAGACGAGACGTACTGTTCGTTAAAAATAAACGGTGTTCAGGCCTTCGGTTCGAGTGAGAAATCAGTCTCATTTCATACAGAAAACGTGTGTGTGTGTGTGTGTGTGTCGTACTGCATGCTAACATCGTCAGTTTGACTACATTATCATATCATCTCTTAAACATAATACAGTCGTATCGACACAAGCTTCCTTTTACACTTTCTTTATGAAACAGGCACAGAAATAATTGACTTTTAATACGTTTTTTAAGCACAGCTTCTGTAGCAAACTACTAAATGCATTTCCACTGTTTTGGATAATAGTATTCATTAATCAAAGTCCTTCGGAGAGATTTAGAGAGGAAGTGCTGGGTGTTTTGCAGAAAGGGTTTGATGACAGAGGTAAGAGATTAAGAAGGATAACAGGATAACTGTAATATGTCTGCGGGTGAGGAGTCGGGAGACGAGGTCCAGCAGCTGGTTGGTTCTCTTGCGATCCTTACGCCATGCTGAGGGGAAACAGAGCCGAGGTTAGAAACCACAGAGACGTTAATGGTTTCTACAGGAAGGGAGGAAAGTAGGGCTGCTCGATTATGGCAAAAATCATGATCTCGATTATTTGGGTCAATAATTGTAATGGCGATTATTCATTGACTTTGAAAACATCCATTTATTGTACTTTAAAACAAATAATAATTTGAACTTTTTAACTGTTGAATTATACGTTCAGGGTAATCAACTGAAAAACCAATACAAAATCAAATAAATTATACATTCATGTCTACATTTAAATAAATATCAAAATAATAAATACCAATAAACAAGGTCAACAAACATGTTGCAGTGCAACCTGAACACTCCTTAGAGCAACATGTTGCAGTGCAACCTGAACACTCCTTAGAGCAACATGTTGCAGTGCAACCTGAACACTCCTTAGAGCAACATGTTGCAGTGCAACCTGAACACTCCTTAGAGCAACATGTTGCAGTGCAACCTGAACACTCCTTAGAGCAACATGTTGCAGTGCAACCTGAACACTCCTTAGAGCAACATGTTGCAGTGCAACCTGAACACTCCTTAGAGCAACATGTTGCAGTGCAACCTGAACACTCCTTAGAGCAACATGTTGGCCAAACATATTCCACTCACTCCACTGGGTCAATAATTGATATCACGATTATTAAAAACGATTATCCATTTACTTTGAAAACATCCCTGAACTTTAAGTATAATTAAAAAAAAGTAATAATAAAAAAATAATCGTTTTATTTCGATTACGTTGTTTTCGTAATCGCTGCAAGCCATAATCACGATTAAAATACGATTAATTGAGCAGCCCTAGAGGAAATAATGGCTAAAAAGCTCTTCATACAGAGCTCAGTGTACGGCTCCTTCAGATTAGATGGACTTTATTGAATCCCAATTTGGACATTATTTCACAAATTCTGGAATTAAAGGAATTCAATCCGTTAGTTTTTACACAACATCTTGTCTGTTATTGTAATATTTCTTAAAAGCTATTACATGAACAGGTGGTAGTGCGTGTGTGTGTGTGTGTCAGTGAGGATGAGTGTGTGTGTGTGTGTCAGTGAGGATGAGTGTGTGTGTGTGATGTTCCGGTGCAAATGAGTCAGTGTGTTACGATCGGCTCTCGTCTAATAAGATGTACGTTATTCATAGCAAATTGGCAGAGTTTCTGTTTGTGGGTTTCAAAGTTCTGTAGTTGTTGAAGATGGAGCTTTATTAACCCCCTGGGGAAACGCAGTAGTTTAAACGGCACAGGTTCACAGACGAGAGAAGGTACCTGCTGGGTAAGAAAGGTAGATCAAGTGTTTTTCTTTGTGGTGTCACTATGTTCTGTAGTTGTTGTATTGCATCACCTTGTACCTGCTGGGGGAGTAAAGAGTTCCTACCTGTCGATGAGCGAGTCCCTCATGGTGGTGGCGATGGCGGACGGCTGCGCTGCGTCGCTGAGCCTGAAGACGCTCTCGATGACGGACAGCTCGGTGCTCGTGGTGTCCAGGCCGCAGAACGCACACCAGTCGTTCACCACCATCCCCCCGGCGATCACCTCGCTGCCTCGGTTCACCGTGCCCGCCTGCACAGGAAGCCACAAGTTAGCTGGAGACATTGCAGCGTGAATGCTGAAAAGACTGCAAATCCCAAATGACAAATACGGGCCGAAAGTTTCATTTACAAGTATTAAAAGTAACCAGGGGAACCCAAACCAACTGAGACCCGTCTGTCCGCCGCATCTACACACACTGTACAACACACTTTAGTCAGTACTACCAGAGTATTTTTACACACGAGTATCTGTACTTCTACTTGAGTACAGGATGTGTGTACTTTCTCCCTCTCTGCTCACAGGTGTTTGTGTTTTCTTCCTGCCTGTGTTCATTTCATGAGCTGCTCATAACCAATGGTGGGATTGATAAAGTGATTGATTGATAAAGTGATTGATTGAGTCCACTCACCACCAGAGGGACCTGCAGCAGGGAGGAGAGCTCGTCCTGGTCCTCGATGGATGTCTTGGGGTGGACCAGGCCTCCCTGATTACTGAAGGCACAGTAAGACCCGACCAGAACCTGCTCAGCCACCGTCTGACGGAAGACCTCCACCTTCAGGGTGTCCGCCAGGATCTCCTCCGTCTCCTGCACACAGCACCACGATGAGAACAGAGTATTTGGAGCTGTGGTAACCAGAAGGCAAACCACCTCCATGTTTTCTGTCCGGTTATCAAAGACTACAGGGAGGAGAAACACAATGTGTGGACTCACTCCGTGAAGCCCTAAAGGCCAGGCTTTGTTTTCACACATCCAGAACTCGGCTGTAAAGAAATGTCTACTCCCTGATTGGTCACAGTCTCTTTCTCATCTGTGTTTTGTGTCATGTTGCTGAAAAGAACTATGAACAGATTGATGTGATTCATGTAAAGATGCCATGTACGTCCACAAAGGGAGAGTTCATGCATCACACGGGAACATTTACACGTGAGAAATACCTACAAGCCAACCCATCTATTAAAGGTCTCCTATTATTCTATTTTTAGGCATGTATTACAGGTCTCAGATAAATACATATAAAAACATGTTTGGCTCAAAATACCAAACAGATCACCCATTCTCGCCTCAGAGGGTTTGGGAGCCGTAGGGTCCCCGGTTCAAGTCCCCGACCAGACCTAATTATGGAGTGTGGACTGCTACTTGGAGAGGTCCCAGTTCACCTCCTGCCCTGCCGTGGTGCCCTTGAGCAAGGCACCGGACCCCCCCCTTCCCCCCTCACTCCCCGGGCGCTGTGCAATAGCTGGCTAGACTCCTGGGGGCCAGACTCCTGGGGGCCAGACTCCTGGGGGCCAGACTCCTGGGGGCCAGACTCCTGGGGGCCAGACTCCTGGGGGCTAGACTCCTGGGGGCCAGACTCCTGGGGCCAGACTCCTGGGGGCCAGACTCCTGGGGGCCAGACTCCTGGGGGCCAGACTCCTGGGGGCCAGACTCCTGGGGGCCAGACTCCTGGGGGGCCAGACTCCTGGGGGGCCAGACTCCTGGGGGGCCAGACTCCTGGGGGCCAGACTCCTGGGGGCCAGACTCCTGGGGGCCAGACTCCTGGGGGGCCAGACTCCTGGGGGCCAGACTCCTGGGGGCCAGACTCCTGGGGGCCAGACTCCTGGGGGCCAGACTCCTGGGGGCTAGACTCCTGGGGGCCAGACTCCTGGGGGCCAGACTCCTGGGGGCCAGACTCCTGGGGGCCAGACTCCTGGGGGCCAGACTCCTGGGGGCCAGACTCCTGGGGGCCAGACTCCTGGGGGCCAGACTCCTGGGGGCTAGACTCCTGGGGGCTAGACTCCTGGGGGCCAGACTCGTGGGGGCCAGACTCCTGGGGGCTAGACTCCTGGGGGCTAGACTCCTGGGGGCTAGACTCCTGGGGGCCAGACTCCTGGGGGCCAGACTCCTGGGGGCCAGACTCCTGGGGGCCAGACTCCTGGGGGCCAGACTCCTGGGGCCAGACTCCTGGGGGCCAGACTCCTGGGGGCTAGACTCCTGGGGCCAGACTCCTGGGGGCCAGACTCCTGGGGGCCAGACTCCTGGGGGCCAGACTCCTGGGGGCCAGACTCCTGGGGGCCAGACTCCTGGGGGCCAGACTCCTGGGGGCCAGACTCCTGGGGGCTAGACTCCTGGGGGCCAGACTCCTGGGGGGCCAGACTCCTGGGGGCCAGACTCCTGGGGGCCAGACTCCTGGGGGCTAGACTCCTGGGGGCTAGACTCCTGGGGGGCCAGACTCCTGGGGGCCAGACTCCTGGGGGCCAGACTCCTGGGGGCCAGACTCCTGGGGGCCAGACTCCTGGGGGCCAGACTCCTGGGGGCCAGACTCCTGGGGGCCAGACTCCTGGGGGCCAGACTCCTGGGGGCCAGACTCCTGGGGGCCAGACTCCTGGGGGCCAGACTCCTGGGGGCCAGACTCCTGGGGGCCAGACTCCTGGGGGCCAGACTCCTGGGGGTTAGGATGGGTTAAAAGCAGAGAACTACTAAACGGCAGTGGTGGGATGTAACCAAGTGACCTACTTTGTCTTTTACTAAATGAAGTGATGTTGCACCACACTGTCTGCCTCCTGTTAGCATGTGACTGCTCTAAGTTATAACGTGTTGAGAAGGAGTTCCTGATCTCAGTCTCACCCGGATGCATCATCTGTTTGGTGTTTGGAGCAAAACATCTATCACGCACCCTTTAAGTTCATTTATTTATCCTTATTATATATATACTGTTTTGTATGTTCTTTCCCACCATGACTATGTTTGTGATTAAGTAGTAGGGCGGCTCGATTATGGCAAAAATCATTATCTCGATTATTTGGGTCAATAATTGATATCACGATTATTAAAAACGATGATCCATTTGCTTTGAAAACATCCATTTATTGGAGAAACATTTTTGAACAGGATGTTTTTGATTCCCCTGAACTTCAAGTATAACTCAACTGAAAAAATAACAAAAAAAAAATAGCAGCAATAATAAAACGATTATCGTTTTATTTAGATTACGTTGTTTTCGTAATTGTTGCGAGCCATAAATCGTAATTGCGATTAAAATACGATCAATTGAGCAGCCCTATTAAGCATGGTATTCTTAACCACAAGCTGGAACCATTTGTGTCACGATGGAGAACTGATTTCGTAAAACCTCAGAGGCCACATTTGATTTGACTGAAGTCCGGATCACTCCCTAATGTTCGTACTTTTTTTATTTTAGGCTTTTTGGACGGACAAACTTAAGATGTACAATTACTACGTCTTAAAAAACACTGATTGTTTGCTGCCAAATATATGACAAAACAAAGTATGGTATTCCGGTCAGGCTTCAGTAACACAATCTCACACTGAAAAACTGCACCGTTGGCTTTAATTGAATGTGTTATGTCAACAAATCTCACATAACTCTATTAGGTTAGTTGAAAGCAGTAATATGAAACTGAAAGTAGGCGTACAGGTATGTATGTGCAAACATGTCTGGAACATTTACATTTTGCTGCATCAAGACTTCACTCGGCAGCAAACCGATGACATGTATTCATATTGAAATGATGAAGAACATGGTGGTGTAATGTTGAGTCTCACCCGGTCGAGGTCAGGATGGACCAGAGCCACGTAGTCGTTGCAGGCGATGACGTTCCCCAGCGCCGACAGCCTCTCCTCGACCCGCTGCACGCGCACGGCGTCCGGCAGACTGTTCCTGATGTGCTGCAGCTCCTGGTCCGTCGTGCTGCTGGGCACAATGAGGCCGTGACGGTTCCCTGAACGCACCACGGACACAAAACCATCAGGTCACAAGCCGGAAGATAACTGTTGGGAAACACTGAATGTCCTCTTCCAACATGAGAGTAACGTGATAACAGGTATCCCAACTGTAGCTGTGAACATGACAGGATGTGTGATGACCTAGAAGAGCATCAGGACTGTTTGAGGCAGATGATAGCTATGTGATTAACATGATGATTCAGCCTCTATGGAGAGAGACATCAAGCATGCTCATTTCTGACGTGGAGCTAATCTGAAGTAAACATTGAAGTAGGGCTGTGCAATTAATCGTATTTTAATCGCGATTACGATTATGGCTTGCGACGATTATGAAAACAGCATAATTGACAAAATACGATTATTTAGCTGGGTGCGCTTTCGCCCCTCCCTAAAAGCCCACTCGGCCACGTGGGAGTGACATGTGTTGTGAGTGTTCAGCGCGAGCGAAGATGTCAGAACAAGAGCAGCAACTCGTTAAAAAGAAGGGTCAAACTATTTCCACTATTTGCAAGTACTTTGGCTTTCAGGAGTCCGACGTGGAGCAAAACAAAGTACAGTGCAGGATTTGTTACCAGGTTGTGTTGGCACCACACGCTAACACAACCAATCTCTTTAATCCTCTGAAATACAACCACAAAGTGCAATACGACCGGGCAGTAATACAACAACAAGCAGATGCCCGCTCGACTTCATCCACCACATCATCACAGTCATCGATTCAGGACGCATTGTACAGAGCAACGGCCTACGCGACGAGCTCGCAGAGACACAGAGATATTACAGGTGCCATTACATTTCACATCGCTAAAGATATGTGCCCAGTTAGCACTGTTAGCAACCAGGGCTTTAAGCAACTTGTCAACACGTTGGACAAGCGTTACGCGATGCCGTCTCGGTATTATTTCAGCAGGTCTGCGCTGCCTGCGCTATGTGACAAATGCCGTGGGGAAGTTGAGAGAGATGTGGCTTCAGCTGACTACTTTGCTACCACAACAGACCTATGGTCTAGCCCAGGGGTGCCCAACCAGTCGATCGCGAGATGTGTCTAAAAATAGAACAACAATATTCTGTTTTATCGTTAATGTCCTGTAACATAATCTTCCTGTGCCAGAATAATGCACTTGAACGCATCAAAGCTTTGTGATTGGCCGGCGTCACCCCATGTGTCGGGGCGTGGCTGAGGGTCTTCAGTACAGGTGGCAATATCGTCCCCTGCCTGCGCTCATCTCTGAAACCAGACCATGTAAACAGGCTGGTGTTTCTTGCAAAGCATCTTTAAGAGATGACACGAGCAGCCCTACCAGCATTTGCCATGGTGGCCTAAACATTTTTATTTGGTCTTAAATTGTAGTTCAACATTTATTTCCTGTTACTTCTGGATGACGGTTGGCCAGCCTTCAACGTTTAACTGAGTGGAATATGTTGAATATGTTTTACCAACATGTTGGCTATATGTTAAGGAGTGTTCAGTAGGTTGTGACAGTGCACTGCAACATGTTGGATTTCATTTATTTTGGTCTAATTTATTTTTATTTATCATATTAATAATATATGTTTAGTATGGTTTTGGAAGTGCGCTCCAACATATTTGTTGATCTTGTTTATTGGTAAAATATTATTTGTTTTAAAGTTCAATAAATGCTCAATGAATAATCGTCAAAATAATCGTGATATCAATTATTGACCCAAATAATCGTGATTATGATTTTTGCCATAATCGCACAGCCCTACATTGAATACTGCTTTCTATTCCTCCATCTTGTGACTGTGTAACTCCCTCTCTTGGATATCAGCATGTGAAGGACACTGTTCAGGAACTAGTGGATGCTCTGTATGTGATGACTCCTTCCATTCTGGAGAGGATCACAGATACATGGATCCTGAGATGAAGCTCAAGCCGGAGACCAGGGAGAGTTCTCTAACAGTAATCGAGGTCCCTCTCTAGTGCGTTACACTAGTGCACATTATACGAGTTGTCCTCAGACTCGATCTTTTAGACCTCTGGTTATTTTGCACAACGCGCCGCCGGTGATGATGGCTGCCATGTCTTCGTATTATTTCAGTGTTTGTTTACTTTTCAGTGTGTTATCGTGTTGCTGTTGGAGGAGGAGCCTGTGACCTCAGATCTTCATGGACACACCTACATTTAGGGCTGCACGATATTGAAAAAAACTGACATTGCGATTTCCCCCCCCCTGCGATATATATTGCGTTTTTTTTAACCTGTTAAGTCCCAAAGTCCCGGCGGGTACTTTACTTTTTTTTTCACGACACTGTGTCTCAGGGCATCTTAATATTTAAGAACCTATTAATGTGTTATACCAGATTAACGGAAATAATCTCAGCTAACTGACGATACAAACCATTTTATCCAAAACAAAACACAAGTCTCATAAGAAGCATCTAAATGACCCCCGAGCGAAAAATGCTAACACACTTTGGCACAGAACTCAAGATAAAAGTACCCTTATTACTTATCATAGCTGCACTTACAAGATATCCGATTAAAGCTGAGGTTCCACAGATCATTTAGGTATATAGTATCATCACTGAGTGATCCGAACTCGGACAGGGGAAGCAAACACAGACATCACAACACGTACCTTTACGTAGCTTCTAGGGGAGATCGTCTCACCGTAGCTGTCAATCTGATCAAAAGACGTGTTCAATGGCATTAAAACCAGAAAAAGCGCGGCTGAATCGGTTAATCCATAGGTTTTTAACGTCTCTGTATAAAAAAATTATTTCATTTATAATCCATAATTCCATTTTTATGTAAAAATCGCAGAGCAAAAGTTAGCTGCTAATGGTAGCCACCAGAGTGGCTGCTGCTTCCGGTCTTGGATATGCGGCAGTCTCACACACACACATTACCAAATAAGGAGTGAGAGTAGCCAAAACCGGAAGCTGTATACCACCAAGGTGGCTACCATTAGCAGCTAACTTTTGTGCTCCGATTTTTACATAAAAATGGAATTATGGATTATAAACAATTGCTTCAAAGCCACAGATACATTATCAACCTATGGATCAACCGATTCAGCCACGTTTTTTCTCGTTTTATGCCATTGAACACGTCTTTTGATCAGATTGACAGCTACGGTGAGACGATCTCCCGTAAAAGCTCCGTAAAAGGTACGTGTTGTGATGTCTGTGTTTGCTTCCCCTGTCGCGAGATCGGATCGCTTAGATACTATACTTAAATAATCTGTGGAGTCTCAGCTTTAATCTGATATATTGTATGTGCAGTTTCGATAAGTGATAAGGGTATCTTTATCTTGAGTTCTGTGCTAAAGTGCGTTAGCATTTTAAAAAAAAAATGAATAAAACCGCACGTCCCTACGGTGTGAATATCGCGCATGCGCATATTGCGTTTATCGCCATGACACGGTATATCGTTCAGCCCTACCTACACTGTTGCTCTGCACACATGACCCTGACAGTCTTGAATCAATACCTCTTTACAACGCCACTGCTCTTCTGATTTGCAGCACTTCAGAGTTCTACTGCATCTTAAAATAACTCAGGCTAATGTTTTTTGTTTAATGTCTTCAAAATGTGAAAGCCTTCTGCTCACATTCTTGGTAAAAAGCATCATGTCAAAAATGGTCAATAGTTTATAAAAACACATCCAGAATGTTCATTTAATCAACCTCATATATATAATAATTAGGGCTGTCAAACGATTACACATTTTAATCACAGCTTAAAAATGTATTAATCAGATTAATCACCATTCGAACTATGTCCAAAATATGCCATTTCTTTATGTATATTGTTGGGAATGGAAAGATAAATGAAAGAAGGCGGATATATCCATTTAACTGTGCACAGTATCTATGTTTATTATAACATTTTTCTGTGTGTCAAAAGGAAAGACAACCCACACACCTATCAATCATCAAACATCAAACCGTGGGGTCTTATTTCATTACGTGTTGATTTCTATCAACACGTAATGGGGGGGGGGGGCGGCTAGTGGAGTACTTCGTGACCACAGAGCGTGAACGTTGTGATCAGCTGTTTTAGCGCAGTTCTCCAGTGAAGGGGGGGGGGGGGGGGGTCTCCCTCCGCAGCCGGTTGGCGTAGTTTTGGCACAGTTCCGTTGTACAGACCGACGTTAACAGCAGCCCTGTCTGTGCACACGGAGACCGACTCTGTCGTCCGGTGATCTAACCGCCTTCTGGAAAAGCTTCACAAGTACGTCGGTACGCAAATGCGCTTTGTGACACAAGTGACGGTACGCATTTCAGATTACGCACATAACCTGCGTACCAGTTATGTGTTACCTGTACTACAGCAAAAGTATTCTCCGTCGGGACTTCCTGCAACAACACCACGCCGTTATCTTGATTATGATTGGCCAGAAGACATGATCAAAGATGTCTTTGACGCGATAATTTTGACAGCATTAATAATAATTAGTGCTGTCAAAATTATCGCGTTAACGGCGGTAATTAATTTTTTGAATTAACTGCTTTAAAAATATTTAACGCATTTAACACATGTGCAGAATGGCCCGCCCCATACGTGCCACCAGTGGCAGCGCCAGGGTATGGCTGGGGTAGGCTACACCCATACCAAGAAATGGCTTAGCCCCACCATGAAAAATGATGTTAAAGTAATCAAAATAAAGTCTGCCAACTCGCGCGGAGTAAATTGCACAGACAGCAGTTAGTCAGTTTGATTTCAGCCACTTGTCTGGAAATACCGAAGACCAGAAACGGGTTTGAAAACTTTTGTCACGTAGCGATCGTCTTCTCAATAGAACATCTTTGATAATGTCTTCTGGCCAATCAGAATCAAGATAACGGCGTGGTGTTGTTGCAGGAAGTCCCAATACATCGATACAACATTACGGGTTGATAGAGATCAACACGTAATGAATTAAGACCCACGGTTTGATGAGGTGTGTGGGCTGTCTTTCATTTTGACACACAGAAAAATGTTATAATAAACATAGATACTGTGTTAAATGGATATATCCGCCTTCTTTCATTTATCTTTCCATTCCCAACAATATACATAAAGAAATGGCATATTTTGGACATAGTTCGAATGTGATTAATCAGATTAAAAATTGTAATCGTTTGACAGCCATAATATATATATATATATATATATGTTAAATTCACAGGACCTTAAATGTTTTGTAGAGATCAGTTTCCCTTTGTAATCATTGTGTTCAGATGAAAGGGGTGAGACCTGAGAGATGCTGGTGTGTGTGTTCGTTACTCACCCACACACATCCTCCCGATGATGCGACAGCCTGCGATGGAGGCGTGAAACACCGGGATGGTTTCTGACAATTCCCCCTCGAACACACTGCGTCACACGGAGAACAACGGGCACTGGTTTCAGATCAGATTTTAAGTTTTTAAGCAATAAATAAACACGAACAATAATCACCATTTGACTGATATTGAAGTACTTCTACTTATGGGAATGATTATGTTAGAAACAATAGTCACATTACCATTGAAAACACTTGAAGATGTTTAAATTAGCCAAGATTTTCAGTAGTATTATAATCTTTGTGGTGGAAAGGTACTCCGGCTTTGAACTGAAGTAGAAGTTCTCTGAGCTGCCACCACACTAATATCTCAGGTGTGTTACCTGTAGAAGTTCTCTGAGCTGCCACCACACTAATATCTCAGGTGTGTTACCTGTAGAAGTTCTCTGAGCTGCCACCACACTAATATCTCAGGTGTGTTACCTGTAGAAGTTCTCTATGAGCTGCCACCACACTAATATCTCAGGTGTGTTACCTGTAGAAGTTCTCTATGAGCTGCCACCACACTAATATCTCAGGTGTGTTACCTGTAGAAGTTCTCTATGAGCTGCCACCACACTAATATCTCAGGTGTGTTACCTGTAGAAGTTCTCTGAGCTGCCACCACACTAATATCTCAGGTGTGTTACCTGTAGAAGTTCTCTATGAGCTGCCACCACACTAATATCTCAGGTGTGTTACCTGTAGAAGTTCTCTATGAGCTGCCACCACACTAATATCTCAGGTGTGTTACCTGTAGAAGTTCTCTGAGCTGCCACCACACTAATATCTCAGGTGTGTTACCTGTAGAAGTTCTCTGAGCTGCCACCACACTAATATCTCAGGTGTGTTACCTGTAGAAGTTCTCTGAGCTGCCACCACACTAATATCTCAGGTGTGTTACCTGTAGAAGTTCTCTATGAGCTGCCACCACACTAATATCTCAGGTGTGTTACCTGTAGAAGTTCTCTGAGCTGCCACCACACTAATATCTCAGGTGTGTTACCTGTAGAAGTTCTCTGAGCTGCCACCACACTAATATCTCAGGTGTGTTACCTGTAGAAGTTCTCTGAGCTGCCACCACACTAATATCTCAGGTGTGTTACCTGTAGAAGTTCTCTGAGCTGCCACCACACTAATATCTCAGGTGTGTTACCTGTAGAAGTTCTCTGAGCTGCCACCACACTAATATCTCAGGTGTGTTACCTGTAGAAGTTCTCTGAGCTGCCACCACACTAATATCTCAGGTGTGTTACCTGTAGAAGTTCTCTGTGAGCTGCCACCACACTAATATCTCAGGTGTGTTACCTGTAGAAGTTCTATGAGCTGCCACCACACTAATATCTCAGGTGTGTTACCTGTAGAAGTTCTCTATGAGCTGCCACCACACTAATATCTCAGGTGTGTTACCTGTAGAAGTTCTCTATGAGCTGCCACCACACTAATATCTCAGGTGTGTTACCTGTAGAAGTTCTCTGAGCTGCCACCACACTAATATCTCAGGTGTGTTACCTGTAGAAGTTCTCTGTGAGCTGCCACCACACTAATATCTCAGGTGTGTTACCTGTAGAAGTTCTCTATGAGCTGCCACCACACTAATATCTCAGGTGTGTTACCTGTAGAAGTTCTCTATGAGCTGCCGCCACACTAATATCTCAGGTGTGTTACCTGTAGAAGTTCTCTGAGCTGCCACCACACTAATATCTCAGGTGTGTTACCTGTAGAAGTTCTCTCTGAGCTGCCGCCACACTAATATCTCAGGTGTGTTACCTGTAGAAGTTCTCTATGAGCTGCCACCACACTAATATCTCAGGTGTGTTACCTGTAGAAGTTCTCTGAGCTGCCACCACACTAATATCTCAGGTGTGTTACCTGTAGAAGTTCTCTGAGCTGCCACCACACTAATATCTCAGGTGTGTTACCTGTAGAAGTTCTCTGTGAGCTGCCACCACACTAATATCTCAGGTGTGTTACCTGTACAAGTTCTCTGTGAGCTGCCACCACACTAATATCTCAGGTGTGTTACCTGTACAAGTTCTCTGTGAGCTGCCACCACACTAATATCTCAGGTGTGTTACCTGTACAAGTTCTCTGTGAGCTGCCACCACACTAATATCTCAGGTGTGTTACCTGTAGAAGTTCTCTATGAGCTGCCGCCACACTAATATCTCAGGTGTGTTACCTGTAGAAGTTCTCTATGAGCTGCCACCACACTAATATCTCAGGTGTGTTACCTGTAGAAGTTCTCTATGAGCTGCCACCACACTAATATCTCAGGTGTGTTACCTGTAGAAGTTCTCTGAGCTGCCACCACACTAATATCTCAGGTGTGTTACCTGTAGAAGTTCTCTATGAGCTGCCGCCACACTAATATCTCAGGTGTGTTACCTGTAGAAGTTCTCTATGAGCTGCCACCACACTAATATCTCAGGTGTGTTACCTGTAGAAGTTCTCTCTGAGCTGCCACCACACTAATATCTCAGGTGTGTTACCTGTAGAAGTTCTCTGAGCTGCCACCACACTAATATCTCAGGTGTGTTACCTGTAGAAGTTCTCTGTGAGCTGCCACCACACTAATATCTCAGGTGTGTTACCTGTAGAAGTTCTCTGTGAGCTGCCACCACACTAATATCTCAGGTGTGTTACCTGTAGAAGTTCTCTGTGAGCTGCCACCACACTAATATCTCAGGTGTGTTACCTGTAGAAGTTCTCTGAGCTGCCACCACACTAATATCTCAGGTGTGTTACCTGTAGAAGTTCTCTATGAGCTGCCACCACACTAATATCTCAGGTGTGTTACCTGTAGAAGTTCTCTGAGCTGCCACCACACTAATATCTCAGGTGTGTTACCTGTACAAGTTCTATGAGCTGCCACCACACTAATATCTCAGGTGTGTTACCTGTAGAAGTTCTCTGAGCTGCCACCACACTAATATCTCAGGTGTGTTACCTGTAGAAGTTCTCTGAGCTGCCACCACACTAATATCTCAGGTGTGTTACCTGTACAAGTTCTCTGTGAGCTGCCACCACACTAATATCTCAGGTGTGTTACCTGTAGAAGTTCTCTATGAGCTGCCACCACACTAATATCTCAGGTGTGTTACCTGTAGAAGTTCTCTATGAGCTGCCACCACACTAATATCTCAGGTGTGTTACCTGTAGAAGTTCTCTATGAGCTGCCACCACACTAATATCTCAGGTGTGTTACCTGTAGAAGTTCTCTGTGAGCTGCCACCACACTAATATCTCAGGTGTGTTACCTGTAGAAGTTCTCTATGAGCTGCCACCACACTAATATCTCAGGTGTGTTACCTGTAGAAGTTCTCTGAGCTGCCACCACACTAATATCTCAGGTGTGTTACCTGTAGAAGTTCTCTGAGCTGCCACCACACTAATATCTCAGGTGTGTTACCTGTAGAAGTTCTCTATGAGCTGCCACCACACTAATATCTCAGGTGTGTTACCTGTAGAAGTTCTCTGAGCTGCCACCACACTAATATCTCAGGTGTGTTACCTGTAGAAGTTCTCTGAGCTGCCACCACACTAATATCTCAGGTGTGTTACCTGTAGAAGTTCTCTATGAGCTGCCACCACACTAATATCTCAGGTGTGTTACCTGTAGAAGTTCTCTATGAGCTGCCACCACACTAATATCTCAGGTGTGTTACCTGTAGAAGTTCTCTATGAGCTGCCACCACACTAATATCTCAGGTGTGTTACCTGTAGAAGTTCTCCGAGCCGCCGACGGCCACCAGACAGTACGTGTTGGTGAGTTTAGCGAAGCAGCCGATCTCGTTGTTCTTCTCAAAAGACGCTCTCACAGCCATGATGACGGACAGAGGGGAGGTTCAGTATATATCCTGCAACACATAAATCACATGGCTTTAAACAGTGTTTAAAAAAAGGGGTGGGGACAGATAGAAACAAAACTGTATTGGATGATACCTTTTTTTGTACACACTAGTTTCCCTGCTGTTTGCCAGCAACACCTGGAGACAGGTATATGTGTGGGAAATGAATGAGGAAGCCGATAATCTGTCTTATTTTAGGACAAACACAAAGCTGCAAACTGACCATTTGTGAGAAAGGTGACATGTCTGTAAACGGACCCCATGTGGTGCTGTTTTAAATGTAAATAATGCATTCTGGGACTCTGAGAAAAAGAATAAAGCAAAAAGACATTTACTTCAGCCAAACAACACTAGCATGTTTTTAGAGTCAGTAGAGTGAGGAGGAGTTGTTTGTAGTTTACTTTAAAGTGCAGTGTCTGCAGCAACAATGCTCGTTTATACATTTTCTATTCAAAGTTTACGGATATGTCCAAAATGCACATCTTGGGTCCCCAGAATTACAGCCACCAAGTGTGAACAAACTGTTTCTGGAGATGCACAACAGAAGCCAGTGTTCTTGTATTAGTAGGGCAGGTCCAATGCGATGTTCTTCTCCCTGCTCCTTTACTCCATGCTCACAAACAGTGCACATCGTTTGTTTTAATAACTGCCATGTGTGGAATAAACAAGATTATATTTCTTTATCCACGCTATTTTTCAGAACATTTATAACAAGTTAGACTTTAAAAAGTTATTTGGACATGTTCCCAGCGTAAATGACTCCTATGCTTTTTACTCTGGTGCTGCCATAACACCTGCATGTCCATCTTATTGGACAGTTTAGCCCAAAGCTAGCCGGCTAAAGCTAGCCACGTTTACGTAGTTTTCTCTTTTTAACAGTCAGGGAGGAACACGTGTGAGACTAGCTCTTTGTACGGTCAACAAAGAGCTTCAAACTACTTCACAAAGGGTGTTTGTTTTTCAATAAATACTGAAATTAAGAGAAACGAGTAGTGACAGTTTAGCACACAGCTAGCCGGCTAAAGCTAGCCACGTTTAAGTAGTTTTCTCTTTTTAACAGTCAGGGAGGAACACGTGTGAGATGATCTCCTGTTGTTGTTAAGAAACAGCTTCAAATCACTCCTCGGTGGTGTTTTACTATAGCCGCTGAAAAGAAGAGATAAGTAAGTTAGTTACCTGAGTTCGGTTCTCTGAACATGCGTGGTGATTCTCTTCAGAAAACACACGTGTTGTAATTCCGCTTCCGGGTCAACGTGATGACGGAGGACGTACCATGCGTCATATAAACAACACATGCAACTTCGGGATAAAGACAGACACACACACACACACACACACACACACACACAGACACACACACACACACACACACACACACACACACAGACACACACACACACACACACACACACACACACACACACACACACACACACACACACACACACACACACACACACACACACACACACACACACACACACACACACACACACGCAGCATTTTGACCGTCAATCTACGAGAATTACAAAATAACTTCAAAAAATAGAATCATTTATAGATAAACATTACAAATGTAAAATAAAATAAAACCAATATATACATATTTTCAGTAACCTATATTCAGAGGAGTTCTACCTATTCTACACATTATAAAGTATACAGGACACAATAGAATACTCTCTAATATACCAATCTGCTGAACATATACACATAGTGTATACAGTACATTAAAACAATTACAAATAAAGACGTTTTTATTTATTTCAAGGGTGATGGAAAAAATATATAGTTTTCCACACAGATAATTGTATTTATGGGAAAATCTCACATCCATCGGAAAAATACCCCAAAGTCAACCAATGATATGATGTTTAGGACCTTCAAGGATCACAACCTGGGTGGACAACCCGGCCAACTAGCTACTGGAAAGCTACAGTGAGGGTCCAAACAATGCAACCCCTATGTGAAAACAAGTCATCCTCTGGATCAGACGCCATCATTCTCTTTCTGATTGAATATCTCTGACAGTTCATGGGCCAACCAGAAAGAGCAGAAAATAAGCTTTCATGTGATGCCTTGGTTAAGCCTGTTCTCAAGAAGGCCACTAGATGGCGCTGTGCCCTAGTCTCTCCCTGTATATATTGTAATATACATGATAATGTTATATATTGTATAACATGTTGACTGTAACTTCTTCGTTTATTAAATATGGTCATCCAATTAAAAATGTTTCTATCTTTTACTAGAAATGTTTACTTATTTAACTTATAAAACATATTTATATAATCTTTTTGATTCATTTTTACAACTGACAAAACCCAATTTCCCGCAGGATAAATAAAGTATTTTCACTCATCAGTATTTCACCACTATGAGAACTACTTGTGTATTTAACATTAATATTGAATTTTACATATTTAGTTCATCTTTCTTAATGCTCTCTTTTGTCTGTGTGCACAGTTTATACAGCTTTATGTGTGTGATATATATATATATATCTCATATCTGTGTTTATAGCTTCAGATCTGTCTCCACCACATTTTCCTGCTGCTTTCTTTTCAGCCCAGATGCAAACAATGTGTGTGTGTGTGTGTGTGTGTGTGTGTGTGTGTGTGTGTGTGTGTGTGTGTGTGTGTGTGTGTGTGTGTGTGTGTGCCCGTGCCCGTGCATGAGCCATTCAGAAAGACTTAAAGAAGTTAACCTGCATAGCAACTGCGGGCTGTGAGCCAATCACGTCGGCCGCGCAGTGTGACGTCTTGTTTGTTGACACTTCCATTAGCTCGCCACCTGTGTGACGTCACTGCAGCAGTTTGGGGGGCAGACAAGATGGTCTGAGCACATGAGAGGTCTCACTCCTTGCTGTTTTTCTCACACTCAACATCTGGCCTTACAACACTTTACATTCTGCGTTTATCTTAATCTACTTTACATGTATTCCATTTTCTTTATTCTTGCAACTCACTTGCACCAATATGTCTTTTTCTAGGTTAAGTATTTTTGTGTGTTGCACAAATAGGAGCCTGGGACTTCTTTTTGACAAAGTAAAGGTTCAACTGATTTATATTACCCAGTGTAATAGTATCAAATGTCTTGACACCTGTACCTGAACCATGACAGTGCAGTATAGATGTGTGGTGCAGGGATGACATCTAGACCGACCCAGAAGGCACTCCATCAAAATCCAATGGGATTTCTCCATTGTTGGGCTATAAAGGAACTACTGCACGGTCACATGACTTCACGTCACCATAAACACCTATCATTTCAACTGCTAAGCTAAATGCTAATGTTGGGCAATAAAGGAACCTTGCCTTGCATAACAGAGCAAATACCCATTCAGAAACCATTGACCTGCACACGAAGGAATCCAGAAGTGGTAAAATGCAGACTCATGGTTTTAGGACTCATTCCTGCACGGAGAGGGCAAAAGTACACACATCCTTTACTCAAGTAGAAGTACCGATACTCGTGTTTAAAATACTCTGGTGAAAGTAGAAGTACTGACTAAACTTCTTCACTCAAGTAAAAGTAAAGAACTTTGAAATGTACTTCAGTAAAAAGTACCCATAACTAGCAGCTGTTTTAAAGAGTACCTGACCTCCCTTTATATTAATAGAATAATAATGTCATTGTTAGCTAATGAATGTTTCCATGCTGAACAACGGCAACATGACAACGTTTCCATTGGTCCCTCTTCTTTAGAGAAGACCAGGAAATGATGGATACACGGAACGTGTTCAAATCAATAGGCACGCAATGACTCTAAAGAATAATGATCACGCATCAAACACACATTCAGACTAAAGGAACCAGCTGTTTGGAAAATGAGAGAAGTAGAAAGTACAGGTATTTGAGTTCAACATGTAAGAAGTAGAAAGTACAGGTATTTGGGTTCAACATGTAAGAAGTAGAAAGTACAGGTATTTGAGTTCAACATGTAAGAAGTAGAAAGTACAGGTATTTGAGTTCAACATGTAAGAAGTAGAAAGTACAGGTATTTGAGTTCAACATGTAAGAAGTAGAAAGTACAGGTATTTGAGTTCAACATATAAGAAGTAGAAAGTACAGGTATTTGGGTTCAACATGTGAGAAGTAGAAAGTACAAGTATTTGTGTTCAACATGTAAGAAGTAGAAAGTACAGGTATTTGGGTTCAACATGTAAGAAGTAGAAAGTACAGGTATTTGAGTTCAACATGTGAGAAGTAGAAAGTACAAGTATTTGTGTTCAACATGTAAGAAGTAGAAAGTACAGGTATTTGGGTTCAACATGTAAGAAGTAGAAAGTACAGGTATTTGAGTTCAACATGTAAGAAGTAGAAAGTACAGGTATTTGAGTTCAACATGTGAGAAGTAGAAAGTACCGGTATTTGAGTTCAACATGTAAGAAGTAGAGAGTACAGGTATTTGAGTTCAACATGTAAGAAGTAGAAAGTACAGGTATTTGAGTTCAACATGTAAGAAGTAGAAAGTACAGGTATTTGAGTTCAACATGTGAGAAGTAGAAAGTACAGGTATTTGAGTTCAACATGTAAGAAGTAGAAAGTACAGGTATTTGAGTTCAACATGTGAGAAGTAGAAAGTACAGGTATTTGAGTTCAACATGTAAGAAGTAGAAAGTTCAGGTATTTGAGTTCAACATGTGAGAAGTAGAAAGTACAGGTATTTGAGTTCAACATGTAAGAAGTAGAAAGTACAGGTATTTGAGTTCAACATGTGAGAAGTAGAAAGTACAGGTATTTGAGTTCAACATGTAAGAAGTAGAGAGTACAGGTATTTGTGTTCAACATGTAAGAAGTAGAAAGTACAGGTATTTGAGTTCAACATGTGAGAAGTAGAAAGTACAGGTATTTGAGTTCAACATGTAAGAAGTAGAAAGTACAGGTATTTGAGTTCAACATGTGAGAAGTAGAAAGTACAGGTATTTGAGTTCAACATGTGAGAAGTAGAAAGTACAGGTATTTGGGTTCAACATGTAAGAAGTAGAAAGTACAGGTATTTGTGTTCAACATGTAAGAAGTAGAAAGTACAGGTATTTGAGTTCAACATGTAAGAAGTAAAAAGTACAGGTATTTGAGTTCAACATGTAAGAAGTAGAAAGTACAGGTATTTGTGTTCAACATGTAAGAAGTAGAAAGTACAGGTATTTGAGTTCAACATGAGAAAAGTAGAAAGTACAGGTATTTGAGTTCAACATGTAAGAAGTAGAAAGTACAGGTATTTGAGTTCAACATGTAAGAAGTAGAAAGTACAGGTATTTGTGTTCAACATGTAAGAAGTAGAAAGTACAGGTATTTGAGTTCAACATGTAAGAAGTAGAAAGTACAGGTATTTGTGTTCAACATGTAAGAAGTAGAAAGTACAGGTATTTGAGTTCAACATGTAAGAAGTAGAAAGTACAGGTATTTGAGTTCAACATGTAAGAAGTAGAAAGTACAGGTATTTGAGTTCAACATGTAAGAAGTAGAAAGTACAGGTATTTGTGTTCAACATGTAAGAAGTAGAAAGTACAGGTATTTGTGTTCAACATGTAAGAAGTAGAAAGTACAGGTATTTGAGTTCAACATGTAAGAAGTATAAAGTACAGGTATTTGTGTTCAACATGTAAGAAGTAGAAAGTACAGGTATTTGAGTTCAACATGTAAGAAGTAGAAAGTACAGGTATTTGTGTTCAACATGTAAGAAGTAGAAAGTACAGGTATTTGAGTTCAACATGTAAGAAGTAGAAAGTACAGGTATTTGAGTTCAACATGTAAGAAGTAGAAAGTACAGGTATTTGGGTTCAACATGTGAGAAGTAGAAAGTACAGGTATTTGTGTTCAACATGTGAGAAGTAGAAAGTACAGGTATTTGAGTTCAACATGTGAGAAGTAGAAAGTACAGGTATTTGTGTTCAACATGTAAGAAGTAGAAAGTACAGGTATTTGAGTTCAACATGTAAGAAGTATAAAGTACAGGTATTTGTGTTCAACATGTAAGAAGTAGAAAGTACAGGTATTTGAGTTCAACATGTAAGAAGTAGAAAGTACAGGTATTTGTGTTCAACATGTAAGAAGTAGAAAGTACAGGTATTTGAGTTCAACATGTAAGAAGTAGAAAGTACAGGTATTTGAGTTCAACATGTAAGAAGTAGAAAGTACAGGTATTTGGGTTCAACATGTGAGAAGTAGAAAGTACAGGTATTTGTGTTCAACATGTGAGAAGTAGAAAGTACAGGTATTTGTGTTCAACATGTGAGAAGTAGAAAGTACAGGTATTTGTGTTCAACATGTAAGAAGTAGAAAGTA